GTCAAAATATCAATGTGAACAGAAGTTTGGGAGAAGTTGATCCCAACCCTCACGGATGACTCTGAGGGATGCAAGACTTCAGTGGAGGAAGTAACTGCAGATCTGGTGCAAACAGCACGACAACTAGAGTAAGTGGTTTCTTGAGGTGGAAACTACTCCTGGTGGAGATGCTGTGAAGATTGTTGAAATGACAACAAAGGATTTAGAATATTATGTAAACTTAGTTGATAAAGCGGCAGCAGGGTTTAAGGGGATGGACTCCAGTTTTGAAAGAAGTTCCACTGTGGGTAAAGTGCTGTCAGACAGCATTGAATGCTATAGAGAGATTGTTCATGAAAGGAAGAATCAATCCACCTGTCAGACTTCACTGTGTATTCTTTTAAGAAATTGCCACACCCACCCTAGCCTTCAGCAGCCACCACCCTGATCAGTCATCAACAGTGAAGCAACACCACCCTCCACCAGCAAGAAGATTATGACTCCTTGAAAGCTCAGATGATGGTTAGCATTGTTTAGTAATAAACCATTTTTCAATAACGTAGAAGGGTTTTTAGATATGATGCTATTACACCCTTATTAGACTACAGTATAGTGTAAACAGACCTTTTATAAAGCACTGGAAAACCAAAATGTTAACTGGACTTGCTTTATTGTGATATTTGCTTTACTTCATTGGGCTGGAACTGAGTCCACAGTATTTCTGAGATATGCCTGTACTGAAGTAGAGAGTAAATTAATAGAATAAAATCCATCTGAATTGTGAGTAGAAGCAGAAAACGTAGACAGAAAGGGTTAGCTCTAGGGTAGACACTTAGCTGAAAAGGCATGCCTCCGTGGAAGCATGGAAACAGTTCGTCAGGGAGAGTTTTATGCATGAGTTGAATAGTGTTTGTCTTACTTTGTCATAATGAGACGAATACTTTTCTTTGAACCGTCTTTGTACCAAATCTAGATCCTGGCAGGAAAAAAGAATGATTGTGGTTCTATTATTTCTACGTTATTTCTATTTCCCCTCAAAGGTGGTAATCCTTAAGTTTTTCTTTTTGCCTTCTTCCTGCTGTAGCTTTTATTTATTTTCAAACTTTTTATTGTGGAAAAGTTTACACACATACAAAACCAGAGAAATTAGTATGATGAATGTGCACATCACCCTACTTAAACATTTATCAGCTCATGGACAGTCGTGATTCTTGTGCGTATCTACTCATCCTCTCTCAACCCTGATTATTAATTTAAAAATATTTAGGTGGCTGGCGCCTGGGTGGTTCAGTCGGTTAAGCATCTGACTTCAGCTCAGATCATGATCTCGTGGTTTGTGAGTTCAAACCCCACATTGGGCTCTGTGCTGACAGCTCAGAGCCTGGAGCCTGCTTTGGATTCTGTGTCTCCCTTTCTCTCTCTGCCCCTCCCCTGCCCACACTCTGCCTCTCTCTGTCTCAAAAACAAATAAACACTTAAAAAAATAAAACATATTTAATATTAGCATTTAAAATATTAGGTATGCCTGTTAGTCTCAGGACATATTTTAAAGGGTCAAAGCATTCAGAATATGAATGGCAATTGATTATGATGTGAAGCATGGTATTTTGTAAATAGATAAGTAAGTAAGAATTTTTGGTGGATTTCTATAAAACTATGAGGCAGAATAAAATAGTTACTTATTTTTTCCTTTTAAGCCATTTTCTGCTCAGTGAAATAACCAACTCTTTGGTGGTGTGAGAGTTAATAGAGTGTTAAAAGAGCAGACTTTAGGCCAGTAGAGAAAGGGAAATTCAATTAAATAACACATCATTGTGGTAAATATTTGATATTTTTCTATGAGTCTTTTGATTTCACATGATGATATATGGGTAATTTTTTCCCCTGTTTTCTCATTGATAGATATTTGGATCGTTTCTGATTTTTGTCTATTCTGAAGACTGTTGCTTTGAACTTTCTTGTGTGTGTCCTTTGTTATATATTTCTTTTGGCATATATCTACAAGTGTAATTGCTAGATCAGAAAGTAGGCTTTCATTTATTCATTGGTATCATTAAAGCTAGTTTTAAATTGTTAAAATCTAGTCCACTTGTACCAGCCAAGTATGAGGGTTCCATTTGCTCCATATCCTCACCAACACCTGATGTTTCTGGTCATTGTAATTTAGCCTTCCTGATTAGTTTGTCAGTGAGATTTTTGAAATTATTGTTTTTATTTTTACTATTTCTTGGTTCTGTCAACCGTGCTAAAATTTACACATAGCAAAATACAAATAGTATGTTTGAATTTGGTCATTGAATTTTGGTTAGTGCATCCATCTGTGTAATCACCATCATAGTCAAGATCTAGAATGGTTCCATAACCGCGGCTCCCTTATTCTGCTTCTAGTCAGTCTCTCCCCAACCCCATACACAGTCATCATTCAGGTTTCTGTAAGCACTTTGTTTTAGGCTGTGTTTACATGGAATCATACCACGTACATTTATTCTTTTCTTTTGCTTCACATATGGTTTCTGTTTTTGTCTGTTGTTGCTTAAGTTGGTATATTCATTCTTTTTTGCTGAGTACTAGCTATTGTATGAATATATAAAATTTGCTCATTTATTCATCTGTTGATGAATTTGGATTATTTCCAGTTTGTGGCTAGCATGGTAAAAGCTGCTATGAACATTTGTGTGCAGTCTTTCTGCAGCCATCTCTTTTCATTTCTTTTGGGTACATGTCTCTGGAATTGCTGGCTTATATGCTATTTCTTTATAAGAAATCGGCAAACAGTTTTCCAGTTGGGTTGGACCACCGCCACCAGCCACATGAGAATTTCAGTTGCTCCACATCCTGGTTAGTATTTGGTAATGTCAATCCTTTTAGTTGGAAGCATTTTATTGGGTGTAAAGTGGTAACTCATTGTGGTTTTAGTTTGCACTTTCTGATGACTAGTGTACCTTTTCATGGGCTCAGTGACTCTTACTATAACTTTGGTGATATCTGTTCCATTTTCTAACCAATTTTTATTTTATTTTTTTAAGCTTATTTATTTATTTTGAGAGAGAGAGAGAGAGAGAGATCCCACGAATGCAGGGGAGGGGCAGAGAAAGAGGGAGGGAGAGAATCCCAAGCAGGCTCCGCACCGTCCGTGCAGAGGCCACTGTGGGGCTCGAACTCACGAACCATGAGATCATGACCTGAACTGAAATCATGAGTTGGGTGTTTAACTGACTAAGCCACTCAGGCATCCCTAGAACACTATATTTAATGGAAATGGAATTCTTGGTAGTTTTGCTTTCTTTCTGTACTTTAAAGATGTCATGATGTCAGAATATTATCTCCTCACTTTCATTGTTTTTATTATGAAGTCAGTGATGTTTTTCTTGTTTCTTGGAGCAGTGGCTCTCAACTGGGAATGATTTTACCTTCCTTTTTCCCTCTTCCCCAGGAGAACATTTGGTAATGTCTGGATATGTTTTGGTTGTCTCAGTCTGGGGGGGGGGGGGGGGGTATGCTGCTGACATTCCTACAATGCACAAACAGTTCTTTACACAAAAAAATGATTTGATTGAAAGTGTCCTGAGTGCCAAAGTTAGGCAACTGTGCTTTAAGGTAACATGTCTTTTTTTTTTTTTTCTGGTTGTTTACAAGATTTTCTCTTTCTTATTTGTTAACAATTCGATTAATATATGGCTAGGTTTTATTTTCTTTGTTTTATCCTTTTGGGGATGAATTTTTATTTCCTCTAACACTACACTATCGTTTTATTCATTTGTCTCTTTTTTCATCTTTTTCTTTAATATATTCATTGTAGTTACCTTGAAGTCCTTATAATGCCACTCTTTGGGCTACCTCTGGATCTCCTTCCATTGATTCTTTTATCTTTTGATTAAATGTGTTTTGAACATTGTTGATGAAATGTTTTTGAGACTGTGAATTATCTTCCTTTGAAAGATGTTGGATTCTGTTCTGGTGGCTAAACGATCAGCTCTTTACTTTTGTTCTGTCGGGGCCTTGTTTAGTTCTTAGCTGGGTTTGGTCTGCTTTACTTTAAAAGTAAAGTTTTATTTACTTTTCCTAAGGTGTGGCCTTTGTGAGCTAGGCTGAATGTCTAGGATCTTTACCAAGATGCCTGCGATTTGGCCGGGCTCAAACTGCTAACAGCTTGTCAGCAGCTTTGGGAATCTCACCTTCTCAACATCTGCTTCCTCCTAGGTCCTCATGTGTTTTTGTCTTAGGCTTTTGCAGCTGTGGAGATGATCAGGAATGGATGAGAATTTCTACGCAGATTTCTGGGGTTCTCCTTCTGTGGCTACCGTCTGTCTACCACCTTGTCCCTCCAATTGTAGCCATATTTGCCCAGAACTCTAATTTCTGTTTCCGCTCCATTTCAATGCCCAACTCCCAGAAGATGCTTCTAGGGAATCTCTTGGAGGAATGTTGGATCACCTCAGGTTTCTCTTCTCTTTCATTGGCTGCAGCCTTGTGTTGATTACAGTTCATGCTATAAACACTTGTTTTATATGTTTTGTTCAGATTCTAAAGTTATGTATGGTTAGAGAGTTAAGTCTTATGCCAGGTGTTCTCCAAGGCCAGATTCTGAAGTATCTCTATTTGCCTTTATAAAAGATTAACTGCATTTAAAAAAAATTATTGTGTGTCTGTGTGAGCGCACACACACACACACACACACACACGAGTGGGGGAGGAGCAAAGAGGAAGGGAGAGAGAAAAATCCCAAATCCCAGACAGGCTCCATGCTAGCTCTGAGCTCAGTCCGATGAACCATGAGATCATGACCTGAGCCAAAACTAAGAGTCAGATGCTTAACTGACTGAACCACCCAGGTGCCCCAAAGATTAATTGCTTTTTAAATCGGGTTTATTGCTTTGAAGAAATGCTGGTTTGGTTGCCATTATGGAATAAGTTCTGTATTTTACAGAAGCAAGTGTTAATTGGGAAAACAGCTTATGTCCGTTAACTTATTATGTATAACTTGACATCTCAGTTCCCGGTTGTATTTTTTGTGTTTCAAGGAATCATCTGCTACAGTTTGCCTTAGAGTCACCCCCCATATCCCCTGCTTCCTCCTCTTCAAAGAACCTTGCTGCCAAAGTACACACTCCTGTAGCCTTCAGACATTCAAAGCAAGGAAGCAAATTAATGGAGAATTTCTTGATCAGAGAAACTGGTGGTTCCGCATCAGAGTTGTCGATAAAAGAGAATGAAAGTAAATTCCTCCCTCAAAAAGAGGGCAGCGCTTCTTCAAAGACCAAAGAGACGCCTTCTGTGGAAAAGACAGCTCCACATTCCTTAGATGCTCATGTTCCTGAGACACCCTCTACGTCAGCCTTGAAACAGGCTGTCAAAGGTAGGAAATTATTTTCATGTATGTATTTTCTTAATGGAAATCTTTTCATCCCACATGACATAAGAATAAATCAGCATCTTGAGTGGGGGAAGGAATGGGAAAGGGCAAACCAGATTTCACATTATAGTAGTCTCAGAAATTGATGTAGGCAGCGCTGCAAGATATTTTTGGACTCTTTTGCTCTCATAGAATAGGGATTGAGGCTGATTGCTGGAAAAATGAAGCAGTTTTAATTAGCTCATATTTTAACTATGGCAGTAGCTGTCTATTTTTCAGCTTTTAATTTCCCCCCTCGTCTTTTTTTTTTTAATTTTTTTAAATGTTTTTATTTATTTCTGAAAGAGAGAGAAAGAGACAGCGTGAGCAAGGGAGGGCCAGAGAGAGAGGGAGATACAGAATCTGAAGCAGGTTCCAGGCTCTGAGCTAGCTGTCAGCACAGAACCTGACGCGGGGCTCAAACCCATGAATCATGAGACCACGACCTGAGCCGAAGTCTGATGCTTAACCGATTGGGCCACCCAGGCACCTCTCCCCCCTCATCTTTCATATCAGTTCCATTTCAATCTTAAAGAGTTCCTTTTATCTTATTATACCACTTTGTAAACACTTCCAAGCTGTTCTGACTGGCATTTATAGCCATAGACAACTTGACCCCTAATCTAGCTGTCTGATCTTATTTCTTATTTTTCCCTTTCAAAAACCTTTCTACGCTAGCCAAGGTGATCTCCCCATTATTCCTTGAATATACCCAGAGATTGGAAAAACTAGAAGCTGCTGGCCAAATTTGGCTTGACACCAGTTTTTGTAAATAAAAGTTCACTGGAAAATAGCCACCGCTATCTGCTAGTGAAGCTTTCATGCACCATGACAGAGTTTAGTAGTTGTGAGAGAGACCATCTGGCCTCGAGAGCCCACTTCTCTAATTCCTGGTCCTTCACTAACAATGTTTGCTGACCCTTGTTTTACCTTTTTGGACCTTATCTAGATCCTAACCATTCTTTGGTTATGTGAGACAATACTGACCTCTTCCATCGCCTCAGTGGCAGAGCACTTGCCTTCTGGACTATTTTGTGTACAGTTTGCTTTTTTGATGAATAGCTCAGTTTGTTTAACCTATTTTTTCCATGTCTTTTCTTGCCTGTGAAGTTCAGAGCACCTTGTAGGCAGAAACTAGATCTTACACATCTTTGGTATGCCCACATCACATACAGTGCAGGGCAGTGAGTGGTTATTAAACTTAGGTTGAAATTAGCATATTAGTACTCAAGATTTAAATTTTGTAAGGATATGTGAATCTTAAATGCATTTCCTGGCATATCTTTGATCATTCTGACTATCACTTGACAGCTCTTGTTGTAGTGTTTTTGGCTGATAGTTAACTTTTTTCCCCTAGCAGACCAGTTTTTTCAAATGAAATCTTAATGAGCTATAATACATAAAATAGATAAAATTGGCCCTGCTCCATTTAAGTAGAGATAGGGGCCGTGACCTCCCCCTTTTTCCCTGCCTTTATCATGGTAGCTTCTGGGCCCCAAGATTCTTCCACAGTCCTCTACAGCTTCATCAAGCAGTTTGAGAATGATTGCATTTCCTAATGATAACACTGTATTTGTAATGACAGATGAGAGCTAAATTGTTGAATTGATCACCTTTGCTAATTTGAACAATAGTTGGTCCAAACCAACGAATGCTTCACTAGTTGCACATAAACCCCTCCCCCCCCCCCCCCCCCCCCCCCCGGCCAAGTGTACCTTATTCACATTGTTAGGGTTGCTACAATGCTAACTATTAATGGCTCTAAGACTTGGGGAAACATAAGGTTAGTTCTACAGGTTGGTCACAACTTGGTAGAAAAGACTTAACCAAAGCATTTTCTATTAAATGAATCTCCAGTCTTCTTTGCCGTCTCTTTCTGTAGGCCGAGGAGTCTAATTATGTGACTTCCCACAATTTAACCGTTACTCAGTGAACAGTCTATCCTTATCTCTGTTGCCCTGAGGTGTCATTCTTTTTCTCTTGCTTTTCTAAGTGCATGTTAAGGTTGGGATTCTGTTTTTTTATATTAATTGCTGAAAGATGTCAGGTTATACATTATTTTTGCCCTTTCCATAAGTAATAAGTCTTTCTTTCTCTTTTGAAAAATACAGTGGATTGTCCTGTTTGTGGGGTTAATATTCCAGAAAATCACATTAATAAGCACTTAGACAGCTGTTTAACACGTGAGGAGAAGAAGGAAAGCCTCAGAAGGTAAGAAAGTTATGTATAACCATTGAGGTACTTTAGCAAGGTACTTCTTATGCTTTGTAAACTATTTTCTAGCTCTTCTACTCTGTCTCCTTTGTCCTGAGGGTTATTGCCCTTAAACCATAAGAATCTGGTGACTTGAATTTCTCCTTAGAAACGTTTCTTCTTGGGGCACTTGGCTGGCTCGGTTCATAGAGCATTTGACTCTCATCTCAGGGTTGTGAGCTCAGGCCCCATGTTAGGCATGGAGCCTGTTTGGGAAAAAAAAAAAAAAAAGAAAAGGAAGAAAAGTTTCTTCCTGAGGAATGAGTTTCAACTATGGAAGCTGAGTATTTTCTCCTTAATGGTGAGGTATCAGCATTGATCCTCTTGCTTGGACCACCCTGTTTCTAGATGCATCTGTCATATTTCTTCTAATACATTTAGCTCTGTCAATTTATCCAAGACCTACTCATCCATATGTAATTAAGTTCAAGTTCCCATGGTCACACCTTGCTCCATGGAATATGTTGTCCTGCCATTTGCTCTCTCTTGCAGTTTAGAAGCCCTGCATATTGTATCCCTCTTAGGGAAGGGTTCACTGCACCAGTTAGTGTATCGAAGGCTCTGAGAAGTTCTATATCAAAGGTAGTTGTTGGATTTTGCTTAATCCAGCCATTGCTACAGTTATTTGACTGCAAAACCTTTTTGTCGTCATATCTCAACATCTTGCAAAACTAGTATTTGTGAAAATACACTTAGGGAAGCATTGAGCTGTGTTTCTCTTCAGTTGCATCCTGATCCTGGGGTCTGGTCACATAAAAGAGACTGTGACATTTAAAGTATTTTATCGACAACACCCTGATGGGGCATTTCCTCGATAGGGGTGACAACCCTCAACCCATTCCGTGTAGAATCATGTCAGAGTTGATTCATCCTTTTGATGTCTTCAGATTCTGAGGACCCTTAAATGCATTACTCACTTTCACTAAATCCTGGAAGAAGAGTCAGTGTAATCTTCATGTTTTGGGCATTATCTATCAGTCTTCATATTTTAAAATTTTTAAATTTCTTAATAGAAATTATTGATTCCACTGGTGCTTTTCGTCATAAATGCCAACGAACAGCACAGTTTTCCATTCGAGTTTCACGGGCATAGGTTTAATCACCTATTCTTGCTAAGCTGAAATGTTTTAGATGCAGACTTAATGAACTGTTCCTCACAATGTGCGTGTACAAACTCCTACGAAATGTTTCAGGTCTTGCTACGTACTGTGATTTTTATAGCCATGATCTTATCTTGTAGAGCCCCCTGGGTAATTTTCAGTAAAACAGAATCTGTTGAGAGTTTGCAAGTCTTTCTGCAGTTAAATCATGATCTCTGGCTTTTAGTTTATTGATAGAGCATAAAAGAAATAATTTAGCTAGGGAAGAAAAATGTTAGGTTGTTTTCAGTCTCTGTTTATTCAACTCTACCATTTCTCTCAGTATAATTCTTGGGCCATTTTCATCAGATTTACCCTGTGGAAGCTTGTTAACATAGACTATAGGCTTCAACTTCCGAAGTGGGTGGTATGGAGATGTGACCAAGAATCTGCAGTTTTATAAGTCTTCCCTGTGGCTCCAAGACTCACTGCGATTTGGGCAGCATGGACTTGAAGGCAAACTAGTTACATGCAAGCCCTTTGTAAAATCTTGTTTTTTGGATAAACCTTTTACTTTCAAGTGTTTATTAGTTTTTACTGGAGACTTTGGTATTTTCATTTTGAAATTATTGAAATTGTAATGACTACTTTGAAGTCATGTTTATTAAGCACCTAATTGCTGTGGTGTTGAACCAAGCAGTGTACTCAGAGAGTCAGATTATAATCATTTTAAATAGATTAAAATTTACGAAGGAGTCCTTTTATAAAATTGTCTCAAGTCATTGATACCCTTAGGTAGCTTATTTCTATTCCATTTTAAGAAGTAATGTTTATTAATTGGTTTTTTGGAAGGAGCAGAAGAAAATCAGTTGATAGGGCTTTGCTATATTACATTGCAGCTTAGTGCTTGTCAGTGTATTAATTATATAAGTAGGATGAAGAGCCAGGTGGTGGTTTTGCTAATGCGCTTGTAAGGCCTTATAGATTTGTTAATATAATTAACTGAAGTTGAAGGCAACAAAACCCTCTTGTATTTTTTGCTATTGTTTTCAGTCCTGTTCTTTGAAGATGCTGCCGTTAGAAGGCTACCTACCTGTCAGCTTTCCGAATTCTTTTTTCATTGGCAATAATGAATTGGGTAAAGCTAAGGGGGTAGTTTTGATTGTGGATTAGAATTTTTTTCTAAAGAAGCTATATTCTTAAATCTTTTTAGTCTAAATCTCAATAGTGTTTGTACTCTGAGGTAACTTTTGTATAGAGATTTTGCCTGGAAACCATGGGCAATTTTAGGGCAAATGTGTTTTAAACCATTGGAGAAATGAGTAAGTCTATGTAAGTGTTATGTTAAGTGAAGTTCTTACAGCATTTAGCGCACAAGCCTTCCGTGGACGTCTCCGGTCTGCATCTTTAGGCCTGGTTTCTTTCTGAGAACTCTGTTCCTCTAAGTTTGGCTGCCTCCTGGATCCTGGTATCTGAATGTGCTATCAGCACCTCACATGCATCATGTCCAACACTGTCACCTTTATTTGCAAATTTGTCCTTCTCTTTTTCATTTTTACCTTAACGATTCCACTGTTCTCCCAGTCACACTGGTACTCTGTCAGAAGGCAAATTACTGTTTTATGTGAAGAGCTTTTGATAATTCAGAGTAACCCTTAGTGATTTCTTTTTTCCCTCTTTTCAGTTCTATTCACAAAAGAAAGCCTCTGCCCAAAACTGTATATAACTTGCTCTCAGATCGTGATTTAAAGAAAAAGCTAAAACAGCATGGATTATCTATTCAAGGAAATAAACAACAGCTCATTAAAAGGCACCAAGAATTTGTACACATGTACAATGCCCAGTGCGATGCTTTGCACCCTAAATCAGGTAAGCTAACAAAACAATGAGTTCTTCTTGTTCTCTGGATAGAGCAGTTTGTGTAGCTCAGGGATTATAAACCATAGAAAAGAAACATTGATAAATAACAATTTTGATAGTAGATGAGACATGCAAATGTATTCCTTCAAAAGATATCTGGAGCACACTCTGTGAAGCCAGCCTATCTCTCAGTCCCTGTTGCCATCTCACAGGCAGCACTGCTGCCTGTTTCTCAGGTATAGGTTTCCAGAGACAGTGCAGGATGAAGAGTTGATCTGGGGAGCCTGGATTATAATCCCAGTATTATAGCTTTATGACTGCGTGACCGTGGGCGAGTTACTTATTATCTCAGTTTTCTCACCTATAAAATAAGGGTTATAATACTGTGTACTACATAGTGTTTTTAAAGGCATTAAATGAAAAGTGCATGGCACTGTACCATAGCAAGTAGTTAGCATTCGATAAATGTTACCATTATGATTAGAAGTTATACACAAACATATGTCCTTGATTATTGTTTCGTAAAAGTGTTACTACTATATACACATTATTTAATGGTTTGTCTTTTTCATTTAACCACACACATATTTTGGAGTTCTTTGAATTATTAGCACATATATAAAGTTGCCTAATTTAAAAAAAAACTGAAGTAGAATATGCAAACAGAAAAGTAGACAAATTGTATTGTTTGGTGAATTATCAGAGTAAATTTCACAAAGGGAAAATACCTTTGAAACTACTTCTCAGATCAGAACCAGCATCGCCAAAGCCCCTGTGCCCCTACCTCCAATCACTACCACCTTCATTCTCACAGATGACCAGCATCTTGACTTCTAACACCACAGATTATTCATTTTGTCTTCATGTAAATGGAATACTGAGTAGCTTATGTATTCTTTTGAGTGTGGCTTCATTTGTGCAGCTTTATGTTGAGAAGATTCATCTATGTTTTTGTGTACAGTTGTGCTCTTTTCATTTTTGTCACTATAGAGTATTCCATTGTCTATTACACTATTTATCCATTCAGTGGTTGATGGACATTTGAATTTGTCTGCTCTTTGGCTCTTAAGAATAGTGCTGCTGTCTCTTTTACGTGTCTGGGTGCACATAGGCACACATGTTTTTTGGATATGTGTGTATCTAGGAGTGAAAGTGTTGATATATTTTTGCATTTGCTCAGCTTTCAGGGACATAGCCAAAAACTCCATGCCAGGGTACATTATTTTCCCCCTCGTTTAATTTCTTTCTTTTTTTTTTTTCTTCTTGTTTTGGTTCCTACCAATGCACACTTTCATCAGGAGGGTCTGACAGTTCCAGTTTTTTCACATCCTTGACAACATCAGTATTGTCAGTTTTCCTTTTTGGCCATTAGTGGGTCATTGGTAGTGTCTCATTATGGTTTTAATTTGCATTTCCCCAATGATTTACAGAGTTGAGCAAGTTTATGCTTGTTGATCATCTGGATATCTTCTTTGGTGAAATACCCACTTCAGCGTTACGACCAATTTTTTAATGATGTGTATCTTTTTTTCCCCCTTATTTATTTATGGGAGTACATGAAATTTTCTGTATATAGATATTGCTGTATATATGTATATTTAAACTCTTCTTTCAATTTGCCTTTTCATTCTCTTAATGACTTCATTCAAGAAGTAGAAGTTGTTAATTGTACTGTCTAATCTTTTGCATTTTTCCTTTGGTCAGTACTGTTTATGTCCTTCCCTGTCACAAGGTCATGAGGACCTTCTCTTGTTTTCTTCTAAAAGCTTTATTGTTTTTGCTTTTACATTTTGACCTGCAATTTATCTGGAATCTATCTTAGCCTATGTTGTGAGCTAGGGATGAGAATTTCTTGTTTTTCCATATGGATAACCAATCAACGCAGCGCCGTTTATTGAAAAACTGCCCTTTCCCCTTCTCTTTATGGTTTTAATTTGCATTTTCCTGAGGCCAATGATGTTGAGCATCTTTTCATATGTTTATTTGCTATTTTGTGTGTGTGTGTTTTGAAATATTTTGTCAGATAACACTTTTTATTGATTATAAGAGTTGTTTATATATTCTGGTGGTGCTTGGGTGGCCCAGTCAGCTGAGCCTCCAACTCTTGATTTCGGCTCAGGTCATGATCTCAGTTTGTGAGATGGAGCCCCACATCGGGCTCTCTGCTGACAGCGTGGAGCCTGCTTGGGATTCTCTCTCTGCCCTTCCCTGCATGTGTGTGCACTCTCTATCAAAATAAAGAAATAACTTTAAAACATAGAGTTGTTAATATATGCTAGATACCAGGCATTTGTGAAATACATGTATTTGAATATTTTATCCTAGGCTTTGACTTGCCTTATCGTTTTCCTAATATCTTTTGAAGAACAGAAGTTTTTCATTTTGCTGAAACCCAATTTACCACTTTTTTTCTCTTATGGTTCATGCTTATTCCACCAAGAAATATTTGCCTACCCTAGGATCACAAAGAATTTCTTTTATGTTTCCTTATAGAAGTTTTATAATTTTAGCTTTTATATTCAAGTCTATGATGCATTTCCAGTTAGTTTTTCTGTTGATGTAAGATGAAGGCTATGGCTCACTTAAAAAAATACGGCTGTATATCTAGTTTTAACAGCCCATTTGTTTAAAAGGCTGTCCTTTCCCCACTTACATTCCCCCCCTTTGTCAAAAATCCACAGACCATATATGTATGTGAATATACCTAGAATCTTTTCTGTTCTGTTGGTCTCTATGTCTGGTTCGTTTGTTTGTTTTGCCAGCACCACACCCTTGATTACTATAACTTTGTTATAGTTATATAACTATAGCTTTATATATAGTTAATATAACTATAACTTTTAGCAAGTCTTGAAGTCGGGTGGAGTAAGTCCTTCCAATTTGTTCTTTTTCAAAATTATTTTGACTATTCTAGGTCCTTTGCATTTCCATGTAAATGTTAGACTCAGTTTGTTGATGTCTGCAAAAAAGCCTTCTGGGATTTTAATTGGGATTACATTGAGTTCATTAATCAACTCAGAGGGAATTGATACCTTTACTGAGTCTTTTAATACTAGTCAAGTTTTATTTCTCTTTGTTTCGGTTTCCATTAATTTCTCTCAGCATTGCTTTCCAGTTTTTTATATGCATGTCTTCTAAGTATTTTGTTAATTTTTTTTAAATATTTGTATTTATTTCTAGGAGAGAGAGAGAGAGACAGCGTGAGCAGGGGAGGTTCAGAGAGAGAGGGAGGCACAGACTCTGAAATAGGCTCCAGGCTCTGACCTGGCAGTCATCACAGAGCCCGAGGTGGGGCTCGAATCCACAAACCGCGAGATCATGACCTAAGCGAAAGTTGGACGCTTAACCGACTAAGCCACCCAGGCGCCCCAGTATTTTGTTAAATTTATCACTAAGGGTTTTTTTTTTTTTTTTGGTACTATTGTAAGTGGTGTTTTAAATTTCAGTTTCTCACTACTATTTTACTATTTTAAAGAATCATTTTGATATGTTTATTTTTGTACATTTGCATTATATATACACATGTGTATATTATATAGTGTTAACTTTTGAAACTAAATGATTTCTAGTTGTTTTTCAATAGATTCCATAGGATTTTTTATTTACACAATCATGTCAATAAAAATAGTTTTATTTATTTTTTCTTTTCAGTCTGTGTGTCTTTGCTTTCCTCTTCTTGCCTTACTGCACTGGCTAGACACTCCAGTGCAGTGTTGTGTGGAAGCATGAACAAATACCTTTCCTTACTACCAGTCTTATAGGTAACATAGTCAGTCCTTCACCTTCAAGGGGGACAGCTGTAGATTTTCAAAGATACCTTTTTTGAGGTTGAGGGTGTTCCTTCGATTCCCAGTTTGTTGGGAATCCTGAAGGAGCGTTGAGTTGTGTCCAATCTTTATTCTACTTTATTGAGTTGGTCATTTCTCCCCTTTATTCAGTAATATTCTGTAAAATGGCTTATTACATTGATTTTTAATAGCTTTGTTGAGATATAATTCACATGCCATGCCACCCATTTGAAGTTATAGTTCAGTGTTTCTTAGTATGTTCACAGTTATGCAGCCATCACTGCCGTACATCTTAGAACATTTCATCACCCCAAAAAGAAACTCTGTATCCATTAGCAGGCACTCGGCATTTTTTCCCAGTCCTCACAGCCCTAGACAATTCTCTATAGACCTGTCTCTTCTGGATATTTTATTTACTTATCTCACAGTGCTTGGATATTCTGTTCATTTTTTTTTTTCAGTGTTTGTGCTTTTTGCCTTTTGGTATGCCTTGTAATTTTTTTCTTGATAGTTGGCGCATGATATACCAGTTAAAAGGAATTTGTGGGGCACCTGGGTGGCTTAGTCGGTTAAGCGTCTGACTTTCGCTTAGGTCACAATCTCATGGTTCATGGGTTTGAGCCCCACGTCGGGCTCTGTGGTGACTGCCAGCTCAGAGCCTGGAGCCTGTTTCAGAGTCTGTGACACCCTCTCTCTCTGACCCTCCCCTGCTCACGCTGTCTCTCTCCTAGAATTAAATAAAACATTAAAAAAAAATTAAAAAAAAAAAAGGAATTTGTATAAATAGGCCCTTAGTAATTGGTGGTGAGGTGTGCCAGGGAGCAGAAGCTTTTTATAGTCTTAGCTTTAGGCCTCAATTCTTTAGTGAGCCTGTGTCTCTGGATTGTAAACTTGCCAAGTGTTTCTTAGTTTTTTTTCCCTCCTCCCTCAGGTGGGAAGATGGCCAGAGTGGGCTGAGGTTGGGTGTAGTAGTCTCTCCCTTATCCACTGGGGGTACTTCCAAGACCCCCAGCGGATACCTGGAACCATGGATAGTACTGGATCCTATATATACTGTTTTTCCTATGTGTGCACACCTAGGATAAAATTTAATTTATAAGTTAGGCACCGTGAGATAGTAACAATAATGACTAATAATAAAATAGAACAATTATAACAACATATTGCAATAAAAGTTAAGTGAATGTGGTCTCTCTCTCTCAAAATATGTTATTGTAGTGT